AAGATCTGGAAGACCAAGAAAAATATCAGACAGAACAGCTTGCAGTATTGTGAGAAAAACAATTCAAAACCCACGTTTGACTGCACGATCCCTCCAGAAAGATCTGGCTGACACTGGAGTTGTGGTACACTATTCCACTATAAAGAGATACTTGTACAAATATAGTCTTCATGGAAGAGTCATCAGAAGAAAACCTCTTCTACGTCCTCACCACAAAAATCATCGTTTGAACTTTGCAAATGAACATATAGACAAGCCTGATGCATTTTGGAAACAAGTTCTGTGGACCGATGAGGTTAAAATTGAACTTTTTGGCCGGAATGAGCAAAGGTACGTTTGGAGAAGAAGGGGCACAGAATTGAATGAAAAGAACCTCTGTCCAACTGTTAAGCATGGGGTTGGATCAATCATGCTTTGGGGTTGTGTTGCAGCCAGTGGCACAGGGAACATCTCACGAGTAGAAGGAAAAATGGATTCAATAAAATTTCAGCAAATTTTGGATGGTAACTTGATGCCATCTGTGAAAAAGCTGAAGTTAAAGAGAGGATGGCTTCTACAAATGGATAATGATCCTAAACACACCTCAAAATCCACGGGGGGATTACATCAAGAGGCGTAAACTGAAGGTTTTGCCATGGCCTTCACAATCTCCTGACCTCAACATAATTGAAAATCTATGGATAGACCTTAAAAGAGCAGTGCGTGACAGACAGCCCAGAAATCTCAAAGAACTGGAAGACTTTTGTAAGGAAGAATGGGCAAAGATACCTCAAACAAGAATTGAAAGACTCTTGGCTGGCTACAAAAAGCGTTTACAAGCTGTGATACTTGCCACAGGGGGCAGTACAAGATATTAACTCTGCAGGGTGCCCAAACTTTTGCAGACGCCATTTTTTTGTTTTCGGTTATTTTGAAAGTGTAAATGATGGAAATAAAATCTAACTTTTGTTGACATATTATAAGAATGTCTAATCTGTAATTTGATGCCTTTTGAGATTTTTCCATCTTTCCTTGGCTTCTTTATGCACATTAATAAAAATTTTTAGCTGGGGTGCCCAAACTTTCGATCCCCACTGTATGTATGTATGTATGTATGTATGAGGGATATCTTCCAGCGACAGAGCTTCAAGTCCGTGGACCGCACACAAACCAGCAGCATGCCCAGCCATTTCTTGTTCAAAGTGGTCATAATTATATATGCAAGTGCAATTTTCTTCTTTGTTTTAATAAAGCTACACTAGGGAGGGTTCCCTTGTATCCTTCTAAATTTTATTGCTAGAGGTGCTACCCACACTTATCCGTTTCTATCCACGTCATATCGTTGAATGAGTAGGAGCATCCTGAAGGAGGTTGGAGATCAACAAGGGGACTTCCCTCACCAGAGAAGCACATTTGACTCTTACGCCATAACAGGGAGTACATGTCTGGTGAGTGTGGATGAAGGAGGGGGCACAGGTCACCAGTGTTTTTTTAAGCAAGGGGTCAATTTATAGGACATAGAGCATTTTAATGAGGAATATTTAGTACGGAGGTGGAAGTATTGCACCGTTGAAGTTATATTTGGACACTGTACAAGTCATTGTTTACATATATTGTTGAGCGCTGTCATTATGCAAATTGACATGCTATACGGAGACTGTTAAGACCCAAGAATTATTTGCAGATTTTCAGCTTTATTTTCTAGTACACTTTCAATTTTAAAAAAAGGAGTATCCTTTATCCACACAGCACACAGTTGAAACATACAGGGAAAAGATTCACCCATCAAATGTTTAGCCAAACAAATGCAAATCTTGCAATTTAGAAACCACTGCCAGGCAGCATAGCCAGGTACACACCTCCAGCCTAATTATTGGAGAAAGGATCAGTAGTAAAGTGCTGTCATTATGCAACAGTACACAGTTCCATATTTTACCTGTGTCACACTGCAGACCCCCTCTAATTTCCTGAAGTCATAGTGGTACTGTGCAGGACATTACAGAGAGCTGATATGAAGACAAATTCAGTGTCTAATATACACATACTAGATTAAAAGGAGGATAAGCACTTAAGACAGCTAGGGTACATTTGCTTTTCTCTTATAAAAGGCTGGAGGTGGTCCTAGACAAGGCTATTGTCCATCTAGATGTAGACTACATAGAGGCAGTAAAGATAAGGAGGTGGAGTGCTCTGTTATTTTACTCCTAATTACAACCTAATCAAAAAAGGCCATTTATAGAACATAATAGTTGAAACTAGAATGCAACTGAAGGATTTCTCACTTATCTGATGGCTCATTCAAATGTTTCACATCATATACAACTCTGACTTTTCTATAAAATGTCAAGCCCCCCCAACCATCCAAAGGTGTGTGTGAAAGATTTTAAAGTCCAACTCCAGGACAATTTAAAATTATCCCTTGCAGTAGGGTTGCATCCACACAGCAAGGGTTAACAGCTCATTTTGCCTGTCTAAGGGAAAGGAAAAAAACTTTGAAGTTACCTGATCATATGCATCCCCAGCAGATGGTGTTCCAGTGGTAGACGGTCCCTGGGTATCAACATGTTTAACCATTTGAATACCGGGCAATTTTACACCTTCCTGCCCAGGCCATTTTCCAGGTTTCAGCGCTCTCACACTTTGGGTACAATGCTGTATGACCGCGCAATTGTCATTCAAACTAAAATTTTATCATTTTAGTCACAACTAAAGCTTTCTTTTGGTGGCATTTAATCACCGCTGGGGATTTTATTTTTTTGCTAAATTACCAAAAAAAGACCGAAAATTTTTTTAAAAAAAAAAAAAAACACGTTTTTCTTTGTTTCGGTTATAAAAGTTTGCAAATAAATAATTGTTCTTCATAAATTTAGGCCAAGATGTATTCTACTACATGTCTTTGGTGAAAATAACCCAAATCAGGATGTATTTTTTAGTTTGTAGGAAAGTTATAGAGTTCACAAACTATGGTATAGATCTTAATATTGATCAATCCTGAAGTACTGATGGCCAATCTAATTTCTTGAGGTCCAAGAATGTCAGAACAGTACAGATATCCACCAAATTACCCCTTTTTGCAGAGTAGACAGTCCGACGTACTTCATAAGAGGCATGGCGAGTTTTTTGAAGTTGTATTTTTTTTGTCATAATTTTTTTTTTTTTTTTTTAACACATACTGTCACCAGTGCAGTACAGCATCTTCATATAACTGGCATGGCGGTGATCAGGGACACTGACTGGTGACAGTATGAAAAACAATATATATATATATTTTTTTTTATTTTTTATTACTTTTTTTCTTTTTTATCATAATTCACTATGTCCAAAGTAGTACAATGTTACCATAGTAACATTGTACTACTTTGAGAAAGTGATTTTTTTTTTTTTTTTTTTTTTTTTTTTTTACACAATTTGCTTATAGCAAAGAATTACTTTGCTATACGCAAGCATTTACCTGAATGACATTGATTCATTCAGGGTTTTTTTTTTTTGTGCTTAGCTGTGATTTGGCCACAGCTAATCACATGACATGTGCATGTGATTAGCTGTGACCATTCACAGCTAGGCAGTAGTATACAATGGATGGCATGAATGAAGCCATCCATTGTATACAACTGTCATGTGACCTGCTGCGATTGGTCACAGCAGGTCACATGGTACCGGCAATGGGGCCGATACTCAGATCTGTCATCGGCCGTGTCCGTGGTACACGGCCGGTGACAGATTGCGCAGCTCTGCAAGCGCAAAAAGTGCGGGAGGATGCCATTTGGCGTTCACTCGGAAATCCAATACATTTTTCCGGCCGCTTTTTTGCTATTGGCCAGGCGTGTATTGGTTAATGCAGATCTATGGGCCCCGCTTTAGCCTTGATGACACAAGGATCCTAATTCCCTATAGCCAGGACCGTCTAAGGAGAGGCAAAAAGGGGCAGCTGCCCTGGGCCCAGTCATTGTTGTGGGGACCAAAGCAGCTGCCCTATACTTAACTATCCCAGTTTACATTCCCTTCACCCTTGAAGTCTTTGTCCTGCACAGTGTCCAGATATCTCAGTGTGAAGCGCTGGCCCTCACTTATGCTTACATGTCAGCATTCACATGTAAATAACCAGCATTCCTATGGAAACAGAGGCGGGCAGTTGCATTGATATGTAAATAGCGGCTTGCTTTCATATGGCACAGGCACAGATTCCAGGAGACCTAGAAATCCTAGGAGTTTTTGTATTAGTGGGTCCCCTCACCTTCCCAGTCCATGGTGTGCAGGCAGTGAGGAAATGATGTGCTGTAACCTTCAGCAACCAGTGAGCTGTAATGATACGCTGTAACCTCTAACAATAAATAAGTGGTAAGGATACACAGTAACCAACAGCAACCAGTGAGCAGTAACTGCTAGCAACCAGGGAACAGTAATGACATGCAGAGACTTCAAGCAACCAGTGAGCAATAGTGATGTGCAGTAATTTCTAGCAAGTAATCAGCAAGCAGAGATCATGTGCTACAACCTCCAGCAACTAATCAGGAAGACAATGTGTGCTGAAACCTCTATCAAACAGTAAGTGAGCTGTAACGATATGCTGTAACCTCCAGCAACCAATTACAATTGCTGCCTGATCTAAAACCGATTTTGAGTCTAGCTGCTATATATTGCATTTCTCAGAGCAGGTGGAGAGTGAACTTGCATGGGGTGGGGGGGTGGGGGGGGGAATTGCCCAAGAAGATGTTTGCCCAGGGTCCAATCAATATTAAAAGATGGCCTGCCTAGAGCTTGGGGAGGAAATGCTGAAGGGGCCTGGTCTAGCTGCAGGGGCCTGCAAAGGATGGGGTAAGTAAATTGTTGAATGAGCAATTAACCCTTGCAGTGCAAGCACAGCCCTACCGCAGGGGATACATTTTTTAGTTGTCAGGAGCTGGGCTTCAAGAATCAAAAAAAAGTGGAAAACCAGTTTAAATACAAAATGTTATTCCCATGTGCAATATAAATTTGGCACATTTACTCTGAAATGTATTTTCAGCAAAACGTAACAGTACCTTTTCCATGTTTTCCAAAACTTCAATGGTGGAGGGCTTTGCCTGTTAATGGTAAAATAGAAAGTCATTAAAGTACACATTTGTTCAAATGGTAAAAGGAGTGGAGGGGGAAGGTAACTGACCACAGATAATCAAAATATATGGACACACACGGTATTGAGCCTGTGTGCATCTAGTCCCTGAATTTTAGGTGCAACTGGGAGGCACAGGTGCAGCATCGGAGCCTGATGTGTGCAGTTGTCAGTTTGTTGCAGATTGGAATACACTGCAACTGGCCAGGGCTGAACATTACCCAAGTAGTACTCTCGTTTAGGGCCCTGCGCATTCCAGCCTAACAGACTTTGGCAGACTGCAGACAACGGGGTTAAACATTGCATCTGTGCCTCCTGGGCAACCAAAACTGGGATTGGACGCACAGGGGCTAAACACTCAGTGTGCATGTGGTCTTCTTGAACAATTGCCTCTACCATCTAAACTGATGGCAAACTAGCCACAGGACTTACTCTGGCAACATACACAGTGATTTTATCATGCAGCTAAAAATTCCATTTGCTGCAGAAGGTCAATTTTTTTTCCTCCCATCTGTGTCCCAATTTGGAGATTTTTAATTGAATTACTTCAAGAATTAGCAATTCCTAAATACAAATCATTTGTTATTTTCAGGAAAACACTAGCTTAGTTATGCCTAATGCAAGACATTTACCTATATTAAAACCCATGCATACAAAGCAAACCAAATCACAAACCTGGGTAATTCAAATTAAAGCGCATCTAAAACTTAAAAACAAAGATCTAATAAATTGTGGTTTCCCAATCCTTCAATGTCGTGGCTGCATTCGTTTGTTTTAGCCCCCTTTACTTTGACCTGGTAAATTAGCCACAAAGTCTGTTTTTTCAAATTACTTTAACAGACCAAGCTGTCCAGCAAAAAGGTGTAGGTAAACCCGATCCAAATAAAATAATAAAAAAAAAATTTAAAAATTAAAAAAAATTGTGAACAGCCAGGGTATTTATTGCAGAAGAGACATGAAAATCTCCAGGTGCAAATAAGAGGAAGAATATGGTACAAACATGACTGAGTACAGAATGCTGTCAAAACACAACACAAAAGGTGGGCATTCTCAAAAGACTGGTTAGAAGGCAGCGACTGTTGAAAAATACACACATCAAATCCTGTCTGGAATTTGCCAAAAAGACATATCGAGTGCAACAAACAGTGGGAAAACTGCTAGACTGTCAAGTCCAAAACTGAACTATTTTTGCTTCCCACAAAATATAATGTGCAGTGAAAAGCCAACAAGTACAATCCTCACTGTAAGCATTCAGTGAAGGTAACCACTACTAATGCATTTTAGCCACATGCTCAGTATAAAATAAAACCTGTAACAAACCCTAACTGAATGACTTCCAGCTTGCTTATGCATCCACTTTCAAAGAAATGAAGGGTCTATAACTGATCATAGATGCATTTTAAAATAATAGACAGAATATCAACCAAAAATCCAGAAAAAATGCATTATATAAAATGTTATAAATTGAGTTGCAGTTCAGCAAGGTAAAAAAAAAAATAAATAAAATTTGGTCCCCTACCAAAAACAATTCTGGCTCCCATAGACTGGCCATGTGCTCATGTGGTACACAGATTAGTCCTGTCATTTTAAGAAGGTGCTCCTATCGACAACTCACTATGTGTATAAAAGACACCTGAACACAGAGCCTTTCTTCCATTCAAACCTCACCACCATGGGCAAGACCAAAGAGCTGTCAACGGACATCAGTGATAAGATTAACATGCACAAGGCTGGAATAGGCTACAAGACCATCAGCAAGAAGCTTGGTGAGAAGAAGACAACTCCTGGAGCGATAATTCGCAAATGGAAGAAATACAAAATAACCATCAATTGCCCTCGGTCTGGAACTCCATGCAAGAATTCACCTCATGGGGCAAGGATGATCATGGGAAAAGTGAGATCAGCCCAGAACTACACAGGAGGAGCTTGTGAATGATCTCAAGGCAGTTGGGACCAGTCACCAAACAAACCATCGGTAACAATACGCCGCCATGGATTGAAATCCTGCAACGCCCGCAAAGTCCCCCTCTCCTCAAGAAGGCACATGTACAAGCCCATCTGAAGTTTGCCAATGAACATCGAAATGATTCAGAGAAGGATTGGGAGAAAGTGCTGTGGTCAGATAAGACCAAAATTGAGCTCTTTGGCATTAACTTGACTCGCCGTGTTTAGAGGAAGAAAAATGCTGACTATGACCACAAGAACACAATCCCTACAGTCAAGCACAGAGGTGGAAAAAATTATGCTTTGGGGCCATTTCTCTGCTAAAAAGGTACAGGCTGACTTTGGGATGCTGGATGAGAACCTTCTTTCCTCAGCCAGAACACTGAAGATGGGTCGTAGATGGGTCTTCCAGCATGACAATGACCTAAAACCTACTGCCAAGACAACAAAGGAGTGGCAGCTTAAGAAGAAGCACATTAAGGTCATGGAGTGGCCTAGCCAGTCTCCAGACCTTAATTCTATAGAAAAATCATGGAGGGAGCTGAAACTTGAGTTGCCAAGCGACAGCCAAGAAACCTTAAAGGATTTAGAGAAGAGCTGTAAAGAAGAGTGGACCAAAATCCCTTCTGAGATGTGTGCAACTCTGGTAACCAACTACAAGAAATGTTTCGCCTCAGTGCTTGCCAACAAGGGTTTCTCCACCAAATACCAAGTCATGTTTTCCTTGGGGATCAAATACTTATTTTACTCACTGAACTGCAACTCTGTTTATAACATTTGTACCATGTATTTTTCCTGGATTTGTGGGTAATATTCCCATCCCCATCATTTACAATACACCTCAGATAAAAATTATAGACCCTTCATTTCTTTGTAAGTGGGCAAACTTACAAAATCTGCAGGGGATCAAAATTATTTTCCCCACTGCATATATGTGGAATTTAGACTTGCCAGTAAAAGGTCTCTTGGATGCAGTACAGGACACCGGATCTTTACCTTAACCATTGGTTATATGCACCTAGCTACCTCAAGGTGATAGGACACGGGGAAAAAAAAAAAAAAAGCTGCAACAACATCCCCTATATAACTCCTCCCATCCCCAGGTAGCTTCAGTGTACAAAACAGGGCCTATTGGGCATACCAAGGCCTGAAAGTACAAGTACAACAGAAGTAACAGGGGATACACATGAGAGAATCAAGGGGTGTCATCTAACAACTCAAAAGAATCCTGGAGGGTGAAGGGAAACCAAGAAGTACATACATTACCCCCGGAGAAGCAGCCAACCTAGACTCACCCAACACACAACAGACAAATATCCCAGACATTAGATATATCTACATGGTTAAAGAAACCATAGATTTCTTAAGACCCTCTATGGGAATCAGATGCATCAATTGAGTTAATCCAGAGAACCCACACTTTATTAAACTTCTTAGGACAACCCTAGAAAGATGCAAAAGCTTTATATAGAGGGATCATCAAATTTACCAGAGATCTCTCTAGAAATCCAGAGATGGTACGGGTAGTGATTTCCTTTTCAAAATTATAGCCTTCTATGCATAAAAAAAAAAAAAAAAAAAGTTTGCTCAGTAAGGTCCTGGCTGCTTACACGAAGGCTAGCAAGTCCACAAGACCCAGAAGACAGTAATCTGCAAAGGCACAGAGATAGTCAGCAGAGACAAAGTGGATTGAACTGTAACATTGTTGCAATTGTGGGCAATCCCTGAACATGTGAATAAAATTAGCTTCCTCGCTCCTACAGTGCCAGTAAATGGGAAATAGACAGGTATGTCTTAATTAGTTTTCGGGGAGTAAGATTGATCCGGTGGAGAATATTAAACTGGATCAATCTCTCACTGAAACCAATTGTAAGGTAGAGTATTCCCAAGCCCGGCACCCCCACCCATCAAGCAGTTTTGTAGGCGCTCCAAGCCATCATGTACTGGACGGTTGGAATTGTACCTATTCAAATGTGACCTAGTAAGGTCATGGTCTCCTAGTAAAGTCTCCATTGTGGAGGAGGTAAGGATCAATGGAGAGGCCCGAACTGAACAAAGTATGCATGACAGTTGTAGGAACCAGAAGAAATAGGAGTTATGGAGGTGAAATTGCAACTGAAGCATGTAAAACTTCTTTATAATACCAAGTAGATGAAAGAAAGCCGGCAGCTCAATCTTCCGCAATAAAATTAGTTTATTAATCCAAGTGTGGTACAAAATACAAGCCTTATGAGTTTCAGCATTTAGCCTTCGTCGTTTGTGGAAGATTGTGCTGCCAGCTTTCTTTCACATATATGCTTGCTCGAGTGCTAGGACACTACAAGCCAGGGCACTGACCGCTCACCACCTCAGGGAATTACAACAGGAGTTGCCTATATTTAGTCTTTAAAATACTGCCTTCACAGGTATGTGCCAGAAGCTTAATCCCATGAACAGATGGGATTGAGAGGTCCGGAATAAAATTCTGGCAACATAGGGTTCAGCCATAGAGCCATAGGAGTGTTGGGGGACCAACTTTCCAAACCCCCTAAATCACCAGGGATGGAACATGAGCCAGGCCTCAACTACCGCTCTCAGAGGATGGTTAAGAGGAAAAGGGGATTTAACTCCTCTAGATATAAACAATGGAGATTCCGCAAGGTCTCACAGGATCCCAGTGAGGCTGTTTCCAGTACCGCAGAGGCATCTGAATCATCCACAGTCACCCAATGAGCATAGGAGCGAGGGTAATAGGACTACAAATCCGGGCAAGCCAAGCCCCCTAGAGTCCATGGTCGGCAGAGAATTAAGCGAAATGTGGGAGGGTGCACACCCAGAAAAATGCAGTGAGTTTCGCATTAATTTCTCAAAGATATTTTAGGGGAGTGACAGTACAGTACATATAAAAATGAAAGGCAATATTTTCATTTTAACTAAATTTTGCCAATCGGACAAGGGAAAACTATGCCACGCTTTAAGTTTCAACTTAGCATTTGTTAACAGTGGGAGCAGATTTAGCGCACAAAACTGCTTTATGTCAAAGGAAATACGGATACCAAGATCAAA